ATATATATTTATATTTATATATATGATCAGTTTGCTAATTGAGCTGTCTAGCAGAGGGGCTGGCTGCCTTGAATGTCAGTGGCAATCCCAACACTGAAAGATTTCAAAAAGAAGCTAGGCCACTATTTTGCAGGTGCTAGAGGAATTTCATGTACTCACTCATCAAACATTTATTCATTTATTGACCAGACACTTACTGGCCTCTCTGTAAGGCACCTGCCTGCCCATGATATAATCTCATTATGTTTCTTAGCCAGATATAACTTGGTAGGAATCTGTGGGTTCAGGAGGCAAAGTTTTTAAATACCTCCTTTGGCTATGCTTTGTTATTCTTGCCAGTGCCTACTGCTAAAGCAAAATCCCTCTTTGCTCCACAAATAATTCAGTTGAATTAAAATAAAATCCAACGTTGGTGACCTGATTAGCAATCATTTCTTTTCCAATTGACTCTCTTAGTAGAACACCCCTTGTGTTCCCACCTTGCTTCCTTACCCTTAGAACGGCTCACCTAAAGGGCTTGCAGTTAATTTGAGTCCATTTGCAAACATTAGAGCCATGATTCCTAGGCTCAATTTTATAGTAGTCCAGCTAGATGCAATATTAGAAAAGGGTTTCATGGTAAAAAAAAAAATACTATAAAAACACTGCTTACTATATGCTAAAATTCTTCTTGGAGATTTATAGAGCATGGATAACTAAAGGCTCTGAGAAATCCTACAGAAAAAACAAACAAAACACCACACACATCTAATATTGTTGAAGCCAGCATTTCCAGAACATAAGTACTACTCATTACCATCCCATGAAATGCACTTTCAAAATCTCACCTTATAGAAACTGTGGAGGAAAACTCTAGTAGATACAAGCAGATACAGCCAAAACTGTTCCAAAAAGTTCTGCCTATGTACATTTATAAGTATGTAAAATAATACAAAATAATTTTTAAACATACAGAATTCTATATAGATCAGTTTATCAGATTTCAAGGAATTGGAATCAATTGCCCAAGTATAAACTTTTACTGAAGGCAGCTATTCTCTTGATGATTGAGAGTGTTTTTCTACTTTATTGTGTCAGGTTCTTTAAGACTCAGTTTCTTCATCTGTTAAAAAAAAAATGGAGATGACATTCACCTCATAGAGTTTTTGTGAGGTTCAAGACAAATTGAAAAATCAATGTAAAACACTTCATTTAGTGCTTGTACCATTGTAGGTATTCGGTAAAGACCTGTGTCCCATCTCACTATAATCATAGCACTGAATTGAGACAGTGGGTATTCAAGAAGAATCTGATATTTAGTGTTTATTTTGGTACTGAAGAAAACAGCATATAATAAGTTGTTAGTGCTGCACTTCAATTTGTAGATGAGCATTTTAGGATAAAACTTGGGAAAGAGGATCCCTAAAAAGAATGATTATTTTGTCTTCATATGTTTAAGACCCATTACATGGGATTTTCTTTTTAAAATTTCAAAATTTGTCAAAATAAGAATAGTTTTAGGGGAAAAAGTAATAAAGAAGTAATATTTAATTGAAAACAAGTAAATGGTAGGTCTTTATATCAATTGTTAGGCTTTTATTTTAAAAAACGACAAGATTTTCAAAACTATTTTTTTAAGACAGGTTTCAATTTTATATTTGTTAATTTCTCGAATGGACTAGTGCTTCCCTAAAACGATTTTCATGTGATACTCCACCCCCTTTTCCTCAGGTATTAATTTATTGGTCTAGTGTTTTAGGTTTGGAGTCCTTGTATTGTATGCTACACTTTCTATTCTTGCATTTCTCTCTCATACTGTCTAACATGAGTCTCTGACTCCCTTCGGTTAGGGATGCCTGTTAGTGCCTGGTTAATTCAGCATCCCTAAGCTCATGGCACACTCTTCCACAGCATCGCTGCCAAATCCATTTCAGTGACTCAGCAGGAGCTTGTCATTAACAGCATTCTCGTAGAAAGAAAACATTAAGCAGTCTTGGAAAGCAAAGTGCTAGCGCACCATGTATGGTAAATCTTTGGTGGCAATAAACAGAGTCTCCTGGTGGGTTGTGGTGGAGTTCCTTGCCCGACACCACCCTTCCTTTGAAGCACTAAAAAGTTCATTTTTCAAAAGGAGTTTAAAATAATGACTGCAGTGAAAGGGCCCTCCAGTGTTATTGAAAAGACAATCTGTTTCCAAATCTTGCATTTGTTTATATAATGTATAAACCATTTGGTAGATAAAGGAGAAGGCAGATGGAATTCAAAATAGCAGCTTTATTATTGGTTAACCCTGGGTCAGAGAATATGGCTTTAAATATGTGGCTTGTCAACGCTGCTCTCCAGGCTAAACTCATCCCTCCACCCTTCCAGCCACCCTAACGTCCCCCTCACCTCCTACTAAACCTCCAGCAGAGCCGAAATGGATATTAGGAAAGCAAGAACAAGAAATTTCCTCTACATAAAGTCTATGGTGCTATTTATTAGTTTGCAGATAACATTGAGTTCTAGATCATGAAAATCAAATGACAGAAATAAAATTATCAGGAAGAAACAAAGTGATGAGCTTCTAAATGAGCAAGAAAAAGAAATGTTCTCATTACAAAATAATCCTATATAATAAAAGAGAAACATGCAAATTAACCATCCCTCTGCTACACTCAAGCCACGCCCACCAGCCAATCAGGAGTGAGTGTGCAAAATAACCCAACTAAGATGGAGGCAGCCACGGAGCTGGAGTGAGTAGGAGGCTTGAGTTGCCCCGGGCGATAGAGGAAGCCAAGCTTCCCGCCTGCCCTGCTGGCCCTTGACTCTGCTCAAAGTTTCAATTATAGAAGATAAATAAACCCCAGATACCTGCTTCCAGCCTACCTGGGCTCTGCTCAAGGCTACAAAGTTTTAATTATAGAAGATAAATAAATCCCAGAAAAAAAAGAAAGAAAGAAAAGAAGGGCAGGAGCTGCTCCCTGGTGGTCAGTGCGCTCCCACAGAGGGGGAGCTCTGCTCAGCCACAAGCCAGGCTGCCAGCTGCCAGCACAGCGGTGGTGGTGGGAGTCTCTCCCGCCTCCTCAGCAGTGTTAAGGATGTCCGACTGCAGTTTAGGCCTGCTCCCCACTGGCAAGTGGACATCCCCCGAGGGCTCCCGGGCTGTCGAGGGGTGTCTGACTGCCAGCTTAGGCCCCATACCCCAGGGAGTGGGGGGACATCACTCTAGGGGTCGCAGACTATGAGACTATGAGAGGGCACACGCTGGGCTGAGGGGACCCCCTCTCCCCCGGAGTGCACAGATTTTTGTGCACCAGGCCTCTAGTCTAGATTATATTTATTTAAGATATTTAAGTATGAGATAAGATATGAGTCATTACCTTTAATTAAATAAATGGTTACATTATGATACTGAGCATGTTATTATTTCACTTTTCCAGTCCAACCTATAGATGCAAAAGTATAGGAATTTTTTAAAATATATTTTGTCTTGATTTTAGAGAGGAAGGGAGAGGGAGAAAGAGATAGAAACATCAATGATGAGAGAGAATCATTGATTGGCTGCCTCCTGTGCACCCTGCCCTGGAGATAGAGCCCACACCTCGGCATGTTTACTGGCCAGGAATCAAAACATGATCTCCTTGTTCTTAAGTTGCCACTCAACCACTGCGTCACACTGACTGGGCGGGACCTTATTTTTTTTTAATTTATTTGTATTATTGAAAGTATTACATATGTTCTCCTCTTCTCTCCCCATTGACCCTCACTTCCCCCCAGGCCTTCCCACATTATTGTCTGTGCCCATGGGTTATGCATATGTGCATATAAGTTCGTGATTACTGATTCTTGAGGAAATTATAATAAAACCAGAGGAAGGCCTTAAAGGGCAATTAAGATACCCCTAACTTTGTGAGAATTCCTAAAATAGTTTTATTGAGAAATCAGTTGATAAACCTCTTAATTCTGAAATGATAGGGCCTACAGGTTTGAAAAACAAATTTCAATTTATTTGTAGAATTGGTAGCATAATTCTGAGAACACTATAAATGTGAATATTCCATGAATTTTATGTTCTGAATAAAGGGTATAATAGTATTCAGAACACAAATTGCAAAAAGAGATACAAAGATTTAACTAGTTTTAAAGAGATTTTAGATAACAAATGGTTGACTATAGAATAATTATATTTGTCATTTAAGCTACACATACCTATATTCATTTATATATATTTGTATATAATCTTAATAAAATACTATACCAAATATAGTGAATATCACTTATGAGTAGAATTTTAGTTTCCTTAATAGACTTTTTTATGATTTCTAGAATGAATGTGTATTACTTTTAAATGAAATAAAGTAATCAACATGTTTTCTTAAAGAGAAAAAAAAAACATTTTTGACATAAAAGGAAACTAGGGATGCTCATCAAATGACTAGTGATGTCACTGTGGTCCTTCTCACAGTTTTCCTTCCACATATACCCATGAGTATCTCAGAGACAACCCTGGGTTAGATGAGCCATTGCTCTCAAAGAATGTGGCATTTCCCTTACTATTAATCAAATGCATTTTTATAGCATTATCCCAGGATAAGTTATAAAAAGGTAATTACATCCACAGATACCTATCTTACTAAGTCATTTCTATTCTTTCCAAGAACACACCTTTCAAGAACAAGGTCCTGATACAGAAAATACTGTGAAGCAAGTACCCACGTTGGTGGAAGCCATCTTTAAAATACTATATTATTGCAATTTTTCTCCACAAACATTTGGGAATGTTTTTGTGAGCTACATGGAAGAAGAACAATTATGGGACTTTTTATATAACATCCCAGGTATGAGAAATCTATAATTTTAAAAGAAGCATTCTAATGCTACTTAAATGTATATTTAAAGGTGCTTTAAAAGTTGTAATATCAGTTTTGCTGGATCTGTTATTTGTAAAATTTTATCATTGTTTTTGGTTTGTTTGTTTGTTTGCTTTTTCAGTCTAAAGGCTTCTTTTGCAAGTCATTAGCCATTAGTTCCTATCAAAGTTAAGTATACTTGAGACAAGGTGAGGGGAGGGGAGAGGAAAAATTATGCGATGCAGACTATTAGGGAATGTTCTCTCATAAAAATTTAATTTAATATCTGCCAGAGATTATGCTTTTCTATTTAACATATAAGACCCTAGTAAGATGTGAAAATATATCTTGTGACTTTAGGGTTCATTTATTCAATGAACTGATGGATAAAACTAATGGTCAATTTTCTTCAAATGTAAAAGGCACTTATTATTATGACAATGGTGCCTCTCTCTAGAAGGCATCCTATCATTCCTTTGGGGAAAATATATTTTCCCATTTGTATTGTTATGCCTGTAGCTAGAGCAGATAATAAAGAACAGTTACCATACCTGAATAGGAAATGCTCATGGATTGCCCCATGTTCAGGGCCAGGTATAAAGATTCTCACATTGTTTTCTTGACTTTAAATCTCCATACTTAATGTCTTGGTAAAACAAAGGATGAGAACTTAGACAGTGATTATCATGGTAATCCATTAATCAATTACATCTTTTCTATTTCTCTTTTCTTAGCATATCAGTTATACTACTTTTTTTACTTCATAAAGTGGTTGCCCTAGAGTTTGCAACATATATAGAGAAAGTTTGAAACTAATCCAAGTCTACTTTCAAATAACACTGTAACAATTCACAGGTGTGTGCATACCTTATAATAATAAATAATTCTAATGTCTCCTTCCCATTTCTTACATTATTGTTATTCATCTCACTTATATATAAACATACAGAAGTATAAACATATGCAAATATAATCAATGTGTGAGTTAATACATTGTTGGTAATTATTATTTTGAATAAACTTATCTGTTAGATCAATTATGAATAAGAAAAATAAAAGTTTTAATTTTACCTTCACTTATTCCTTCTTCAGTGCTCTTTCTTTATGTAAATTTGAGTTTCGACATATATTCTTTTCTCTGTAAAGAACTTCTTAACATTTCTTGCAAGGCTAAGTCTATTGGCAACAAATCCCGTCAATTGTTGTTTGTCTCATTTACTTTTGAAGGATCATTTTGCAGGATATAGAATTCTAGGTTGACCTTTTTTCTTTCAGCACTTTAAATATTTCACTTCACTCTCTTCTTAGTTGCATGGTTTCTGAGAAGTCAAATGCAATTCATATGTTTGTTCCTCTAAATGTAAGATGTCTTTTTCCCTATGGTTTCTTTCAGGAGTTTTTTATTTATCTTTGATTTTTCTATAGTTTGAAAATAATTTGTCTAGACATAGTTTTTAAAGTATTCATCCTGCTTGGAGTTCTCTTCACTTCCTGTGATTCGTGTTTGACATTAGTTTTGGGAAATTGTTGTTCATTATTGTTTTAAATATTTCTTCTATGTGGTGTTTTTTCTCTTTCCTCTACTCTATTTCCATTATATATATGCTACACCTTTTGCAGTTTTCCCATAGTCCTTGGATATTCTGTTCTGGTTTCTTTCTTTCTTTTTTTTTTCTAATTTTTGTTCTCCTTGCTTTTCCGTTTTAGAGGTTTCTATTGACATCTATTCTTAAGCTCAGTGTTTCTCTCATCAGCTATGTTCAGTTTACTAATAAGCCCATGAAAGGCTTTCTTTATTGTTGTCAACAGTGTTTTTGATCTTTATTATTATTTTGGGAGGAGGGGTAGTTCTTAGGACTTTCATCTCTCTATTTATATTGCCCCTTTGTTCTTTTATGCTGTCTGTTTTATCCATTAGCACATTTAACATATCAATCATACGTGTTTAAGTTTCTTAGTCTGATAATTCTAACATCTTTGTTATGCCTGTTTCCGATGCTTGCTTTTTTAAAAAAAAATTGTGTGGGTGTTTTTTTGTTGTTGTTTTGGGGGTATTTTTTTGTTCGTTTGTATATCTTTTAATTTCTGTTTTGAAAAGCTGGACATAATATACTGGGTAGAAGGGGCTACTCTAAATAGATCTTCAATAATGTGATGGAGTGGTGAGGGGGGAGGGTAAGCTATCTATAGTCTGATGATTAGGTATCAGTTTTTTAGTGAGTCTGTGCCTCTGTATGGTACTCTTCATAAATGTTTCTCAATTTTTTTCTTCCCCCTTAGACAATAGAGTATGGCTGGAGTGGGCTAGCGTTGGGCATTTTCTTTCATCCTGGTTAGGCTCTGATAATCCCAATGGGCTAGGCTCTGTTTTAATAGTTTCTCCTGAGAGCATGCCTTAAGAAGAAGACTGCTCTGGCCTATTTCAAAATGTTTCTTTCCCCATCCCCATGCTGGAAGCACTAGGGACATTTACTGTGGGAAACTAGTGGCAGCTCCCCCTCCCCAATAGGGTCTTTCTGGAGTTTTAACTCTTAGATTTTTCTAACTGAACCTCCGGCAATTCATCACAGTTCAGATTTTCCCATCTTGGTACTGCTTTTCATGGTGGTTTCTGCTTCTGAGTCTTCACTCCCAGTCAGCCATGACTCCCTGTATTTGCCTGTCTCTCCAGTTTTCCTTGGGTCTTCACCTCTTACCAATTCAAGAAGAGTTGTTGATTATTTGTATCTGTTCAGCTTTTTATTTGTTGTTAGGACAGAATGGTGACTTTCAAGATCTTTTTATGCACTCAGAAATGAGGCCTTGCCACTTATTCTCTTTCCTCTATTTTCTCTTCTCCCATTTCTCTCTCTCTCTCTTTTTTTTTTTTTATCTGTATCTTATTTCTACCATAGGCATCTGTGGCTATTGTTTAATCCTCCCTTTAGTATCTCATTATCAAGGTGTTGTAGAACCCTGAATCAAGAGAAAATTGGGCAGCCCCAACACTGTAACATTGCAAGAAAACTTTAATCTTAGGTAACAATTTTTTTACTACCTACCAGTTATTTTACAAAAATTAATTTCTATAAACTTTAAATAATTCTTTGAGATAGAGCTATTATTTTTCTCTATTATTTTAAATATTTTAATTTAACTTTAAAAGGAATAAACATACCCTTTTAACAATAAGAAATAGGGTAAATTTTGGCTCTCTAGAATTTTTAGATACCCGAGATTATTTTAATCCATGACTCCAAAGAGTTGAACCAAAATGAATATTAATTTTAATGTAGAAATAAGGTATCTTTATGTCTTTCAATGAATTAAAATCTCAAAACATCATTCAAAAGACAGACATCTATATCTTCTACCATTCTCATAAAGAGCAATAGCTTATCTGATGATGATTGTGTCATGTTAAAAAATTAAACTCTGAATATTTGCTATTACCCAGATCTTCTTCCCCATAGTTGTTTTAACAATAGCTTGAGTCACTTGAGAAATATCACCTTGAAATTTTAGAGAGAAAAAAAGATATAGATGCTTTTCTGTATTAATTCAAGTGATGGCCCCAGGATTTTGAAGTTACATTTTTTAAATATTTTATTGCATTTATCACACAATAATATATCATAGTGAGTAATACAAATAATCTATATATATAAAAGACTAATATGCAAAGTGTCCCCTCAGGAGTTCGACCAGGAGACCAGGAGTTTGATCACTTGCTATGACGTGTGCTGACCACCGGGGGGCAGCACAGAACAAAGGAAGGCCCTGGCCAACAGCTGGCAGCAGGGCAGGAAGGCCCTGGCCAACAGCCAGAAGGCCCTGATCAGCCCTAATTGCTGGACAAGCCTAGGGACCCTACCCGTGCATGAATTTTGTGCACCGGGCCTCTAGTAAGAAATAAGTCAGGGTAGCAGAAAGAAGGGAGAAAGAAAGGCAGAGGTAGAGGTAAAAAGAGAGAGAAGGAAGGCAGAAAATTTAAAAGAAGAAGTAATGGAAGAGGAAAATCACTATTAACATTGAAAAGTATATATTTTAATTTTTATGTGTGTATGTAGATATATATTTTTAATAAAATTACATGTCATACTCGAATCTGCTTTTATTTTTATACTAAACAATACATGGCTTTATTGTGTAGATAGATTTACCTTGGCTAATTAAATAAATTACCAATTATTGGACATTTAGATTTTTTCCAGTTTTTATATCCTTTCTATAACCATAATTAATTTCTGAGAATAAAGTTATAGAGAAGAAATAAGTGAATTAACAGATAAGTAAAAGTTAGAGCTTTTGATATTATTGCCAGATTGTCATGTAAGAAGGTCATTTATATTTGCAGCAGTTGAGTTCCAAACTACCAGGAAATATATTCAGTATTATTTTAATTTCTATTCACTTTATTATCAAGAAACTTTTTATGATTTCTAGGTTAAAAGCTGCTCTTCTTTCCTATATTTATATTAGATCATTGAGAAACTGAATTCCCAATTGAATAAGTCACAAAATATTGCCGTATTCTGCTAACTATAGTATGCTATCTGGTTTTGAAGTCTCAACGTGCATGGAGTCTGAGCGAGAGGTCATCCGATGCTTGAGATTGGCACTGACCGATGCTGTCAAGGATATTATACAGCAGATCACATCTGTGATGAGCTCTAGGAGAAACTTCGAGACAAACCTAAACAAGCATAGTGTTCCTGAACGTCTGTGTGACAGCATTCCAAAAGAATGGAATTATATTCCAAAAGAAACCAAAAGGAAAGAATCAAGCAAAGGTATATTTGTTTTTCTGTAAGAACACATTTTAGTAAAATGCTGAAAATAATAAGATTTGTAAATGATATTAGTCTTATTTTTACCATGTATATTTGGGACCTGTTATTTTTTTTTTTCTGTGAGTCATATGATCAAGGAAACTAGAAATGAAAATGACTCAAATGGCCATTTTCTTTATTTAACTACCATTCTGAAATTTCTGTAACATTTTGTGTCCATGCAGTAATCAGAGTAGTCACATGATTTTGACTAATTTCCTTTAAATCTACTGAGTAATATAAAATTAATACTCTCAAGAGGATCGCTATGATATTCAGCTTTGTTATTCTTTCCTTGAAGTTTTTCCCCTCAACCACCAATTATAACTATCTTTCCTCTTGTTAAGACACTTATATATGTGGCTTTTAAGTAAAAAATAGCACCCCATTTAGAAACCACATATTTTTCTGACAGGGTATTTTTTCCCTCTAATTCCGAAGGTTTTGAATTTAGTGCATTATTCCTATTCAAGGCAGTGCATGTACCAAGTGTACTTAAGAACCATCAGTTACTTACATTATTAATTGACTTTATTAATCAAGTCCTCTCTTTTTTAAATGGTTTATTCCTACCTAGATGTTCCTATTTTATAAGAAATTCACAAGATTCCTTTGAATATATATTATGTATCTATCTGTATTCATGAATCTGCTTTAGGATTTTTAAAAATATAACTTTCCTTTTTATATTCACTTTTGATAATTATTTAAGACCTCTATTAACGGATGCTTGCAGTTTGTTGACGTTTTTGAAAAAAATCAAGCTGTAAACTTTTATTACAAATTAAAAATGAGGTTCTTAAAATTTTCAACTTGACTAGACAAGAAACAATTTTAAAACCTTTAAAGATATATTGAGAAAAAGCAGGCTTTTAAAAACACACGTTTGTCATTACCAAAAAAAGACAGCTTTAGGTAAAAATAAAAACCTCATGCTACATAAATAATGCTGATAGTTCTAATTATCTGGTCAGTGGGCAAAAAGCAAGCGCTTATGGTCTTCAGCTCTAATCTTTTATTCATTTCTTGAACAAATGAAAAGCAATATATTCATCTTTTAAAAAGAATATTTTTTCACTAACTCTAAAGTAACTGTCAACAGTAAAATATTCCCGCTGAACCCGCTCAAGTCCATTGAAGGGACTAGCCTTTCTTTCTTCTTCATGAAGATCCTAAATACTATGGCTCTTATCCAACAACCTTACATTAGAAACAAATCAATTATCTATCTGTGACCTTTCATAGTAATGTTTTAATTCTGTCCAAGCCCTATTAAACTGCCTCTGAATCTAGTAAAGCCATTTAATTGAAAATGGAAAATGTCATCTTTTCATTACTTAAGTTCTGCCTTGTCTGAGTTCTTGCCGTCACTCTTCATTCTAGCTTTTGGATATTTCATAGATTTTGAACAATTCAGGAGGCATGACCTATTGCTAACATAGCACATCATAGGAGTGCCACCATTTTGCTTGTGGCTTTCTATTCATTCTATTCATGAACAATTTTCTTTCTAAAAACATTTTGAAATTCTTCCATAACAAATTAACAAACTCTGGTTCCAAAAAATACTTTGTAGATCCTAGTTCTTGTGGTTTTCCTTACTAAATAATCTTTGTAAAATGATCATTAAGAGTTAAGTACAGCACTTCTCCAATAGATGGCCATGAAGGGGTGCCAAGTCACATAATTATATAACAGACTTTATAAAGCATTTAGTGCTTTCCTGGTGGATATGACAGTAGGAGATCACCACTGTTCTTCATTTCTGCCCTCTTTTAGACTGAGAGTGCTCAACCTCTCTTTTCACTACCATATACAAGAAAGATAATATTTTACATGCCAGACATTGTCACGTATTCTTTCAGTAGATACTTCCTAGGTGAATTACTACTACTACTAGGCACTGGGGTAGAGGCCAGAGATAAACTTTAAATAAGATATCTCCTCTTGGTGCTTGAAAACTTGTATTACTATTTTCAAATAGGTACAAACATCTTGGGAGATGTACAAGACAATTCCTTGTTCTGTGAGCCAGTCATGTGTTGGGGACAATATTGTTGGATAGTGGATAGACAGGGTAACCTCACTCTTTCATTAGCTTTTAGCAAACAGTAATGAATTAAGATTGTCCTTTGCAGTTCAGAATCTAGTTTTCACAAAAATGAGTCATCACAAAACAAACCAGTGGCTTTAACATATTCCTGTAAACCAACAAATCAAATGCAGTTTAAAATTAATGCTGAGAAAGCAAGAAAGAGCAAACAAGGCTAAAGTGAAAAAGCTCACACATTTCTATTGTTCACTTGATCTTAGCCAAAAGGCCGAGAAGTGATCATTTCTATTCTTAACATGAGCTCTTTCTCAGCCATAGTATAAGGAAAAACAATAATAATCTCATCAGATTTGGCAAAAAAAAAAAAGGAATAAAAAGGAAATGTGTAGAAAAACCATTTGAAATATAGCTTCCCTTACATTGATGTTAAATATGAGACCTTCCTAAATGAGTATTGTGCCTTGAGATGTTAACTAGTAGTAGTTTCAAGTCATCTTGATTAGCAAAAGATTTCAAAACCAGGCATTCAAAACATGAAGACAAACCTCTAATAGTTTCCAGCAATGTTTTAAATCCAGCACTTTGCAAATTTTGTTGAAGTATTTAATTCAGCACTTTGCAAATTTTGTTGAAGTAAAGATAAATGTTTAGAGAGCTTTTTTGAAGATTATGACTTATCAAAAGACAAATAGTCACTAGCATAAGGAACAGTTGCTTGTCCTGACACAATCAAAACGACAGAAAATGGAAAACACTATGGTGACAAACAAAAATGCACATCTTTATTTCTTTGTCAGCAAATACCATTACATAGAAAACACCAAAGCTTTAAAGAAATAAATATTACAATAAATTATACAAAGTAGGAGATTTATGGAAGAGTTGAATGAAAGTTCAGCTGTTTCTTATATAGATCAGCTTAGGTATTTGCTCCCTTATTTCAAGAGGCAAATCCATAAAGAACTAGTTGTTTTGTTTCTTTGTCAACAATTAAATGAAAATATACTGGAGAACATATTTTCTTAGCGGTAAATTACTTTTTAAATAAAAAGAATGCTTTATGGAAAATTGTTGGAGTAACTGCTTTAACTGAAACTGGATTCTGGAGAGAATACAGGTAGCACCACAAGGAAAGTGTATACATTGTTCACATGCAGATAGTTGAGAAAGAAATTGATGGCAAAAATATACAACATGCTATCAGAAGTCATTAAGGGAATTTATTTTATTAAAAAATAAATATTCATTTTATAAAAACCACAATCACTTATACAAATTTTATGCTGCACACTTTAAGAACTTAGAAATAGAATTTTCTAACATGATTAAAACATTTCAAATAAGAGTTTAAGTGATTCTTGAACATTTTGCTTAAAAATACAAAAACAAAATATTTTTCAGTTTGTTTGCAAGAACAACTAATTGACATCCTGAATGATGAATAATTATGAGTCACATTTCAACAACAGCTTACACCTATTTGGGGCTGAGATTGAAAAGCAAGTGCCAGGTGGCTCTATGTGTATATTCAGGTAGTGGTTTTTCCCCTGTGATGGCTATTAAAATCAAGTATGAAAGCAAACCAAACTTTGAATCATTTTTCATAGAGTATTAAGCCTGGATTCAAAAAATAAGAAAGCATATTAAATCATATTATCCTTACTCAATAAATTATTGTTGACATTTTATACTATTAGTAAAAATTTTTAATTTTAAGATATTATTTTGTCTTTATCTCATTCATTGCAAATTTTCTTTTTGCATATTTTTAAAAATATATTTTATTGATTTTTTACAGAGAGGAAGTGAGAGAGATAGAGAGTTAGAAACATCAGTGAGAGAGAAACATTGATCAGCTGCCTCCTGCACACCCCCTACTGATGATGTGCCCACAACCAAGATACATGCCCTTGACTGGAATCGAACCGCAGGTTGACGCTGTATCCACTAAGCCAAACCAGTTAGGGCTCCTTTTGAATATTTTACAATACACAAAATATATCATTGTCAGGAATAATATGCATTGGAAAAAAGAAATGACAAATACATAAATATAGATGTTACATTGCATTTATTCTAAGACATAATTTTTTTTCGTACTTTATCAGCTTCAAAATCAGGATGGCTCTTAAAATATGTTACATATATGTGGCTAAGATAGAAATCAGGTTATTTAAATAAAGACAAAAATGAGTGGCATTCTTAAAAGATCCCTCCTTGGTGTGTTGTTAACATCATCAGAGACTAAGAGCCCCTGTGATTAGTAGAATGAATTTATTAATTTGTTATCAGCCTAAAGGATCTGGTACTGGCATTTGCCTTAAGCTTTAATGAAGTACTTGGGGATTTGAGTACCTCGAGTGCTCAGATTTTATAAAATATAAGAAGTTCAGGTGTGAAGAGAATTGCAATCTTTACCTGAAATCTACAAATGTTTACTTGGTATCTGCAGTTAAACCCTCTCTAGTATAAGCAGAATATAAGATACTAGAGGCCCAATGCATGAAATTCATGCAAGGGCCTTGGCCCCAGCTCCCACCTGCCACTACTGCAGCCAGGGGCCTCTGCTGCCTCTGCCACGGCCCCCGCCTGCTGCGGCTTTGTCTGGAAGGAAGAAAGTCCAGAAGGACGTCCAGTCTAATTAGCATATTATGCTTTTATTATATAGATAATCTTTTAACTCAAATAAATGACAGTAGAATGAGGAGTATGAGACACAGACACATAAAGCATAAAATTTAAAATAATTTAAGGACACAGCGAAGAGGGGTCACAAAGGAGTCTCTTAATTTGTTTATGTTTTATCCCTTTTACTTATGTTTTAACCCTTATCTAAGCATATATATTTGAATGAAAAGAAAATATTTATTGAGAAACTATTTTTTACCAAGTATCTAAGTAGTTTTATGAGATCATTCAAATATATGTTGGACCTAGTTTACAAGTTAAAGAAAAATGTGCTCTAGTTAATTAATTTTTAAGATGATTCTGAAGGTGTCATGAATTTTTGAGTCCAGACATATGTTTTCCAAGAGCTTTACACTTTATAGAGCAGATTGACTTATTTAAATCAAGGTAGAGATACCTTGAAAAATTTATTATTTTTGTTCAGTAAAAACAATAAATGTTTTATTGAAGGACTCAAAGCTATGTTCTTTTGACTTCTCACTTAGGTTCAAATTAATTTATGTAGATAGTGGATTAAAACACTGTGCCCAGCTTTATGGGATACTCAGGAAGCAATGATTTTCCCCATGTTCTTGAGGAACTTTTAGTCTACTGGTAAGGGCAACTCATGATAACATAAGTAATAATATAATGTAAACAATAATAGATGATAATACAAAATATGGTGGACCATGGCACATTATGGATCTAATTCCCAATATAATCATATGAATAATAAATATGTTCAAATAAATTCATAGAAGGAGAGGACTTTGAAACAAGAGTTGAAGAATGTGGGTGACTCATGAAAAGAGAGGGCATTCCATGTGAGAATGATATTCAGAAGCCTAAAGAGGACCAACCCAGTTTGTGAGGAAAACAATGAATTTGGTTTTAATTATACTAAGTTAATGATGACAGGGCAGAGAAATTGGATACCCAATAGGGAACTAAGGTCTTAGGATTGCTACCCTAGAGAAAGGCCAAGATTGGAGATTCTGGAGTCATCTAGAAAATGATTCTCAGCCAGGGAAGCTTTTGCCCCCAGGAGACATTTGGCAATGCTTGGTCGTCACAACTGAGGTGGGTGCTACTGGCATCTAGTGGATAGAGGCCATAGATACTGTTCAAACATCCAACAGAGCCCTGACCAGTTTGGCTCAGTGGATAGAGCGTTAGCCTGCGGACTCAAGGGTCCCTGGTTTGATTCAGGTCAAGGGCATGTACCTTGGTTGCGGGCACTTCCCCAGTGGGGAGTGTACAGGATGCAGCTGATCGATGTTTCTCTCATCGATGTTTCTGACTCTTTATCCCTCTCCCTTCTTCTCTGTGAGAAACCAATAAAATATATTTTTTAAAAAATCCAACAGTGTCAGGACAGCTCCTCATTATCCAGCCCAAAATGTCAGTAGTGCCCAAGTGGAGAAGCATCAGCTAAGTCTTTCAGAGAAATAACACTAAGCAAAGGAGAGTATGCAGAATCATTGGTTAATGAGCCACAGACTTCTTAGCTTGGGCTGGAATAGGAAGGGCGTGAAGGGTCTGCTTTAGATGGGATGGGGAGGCGGTAACATTTGGGCAAAGAACTAAAGGAAGTGGAGCCAGTCTTGACAAGAGATGAAATGATTCTGGCATGGATTCCAAGGGAGCAGGAGAAAGGCTTATGGGAGTGAGGACCACAGAGTCCAGCAGCAGTGCTCTGCATTTATTACATTTATTAGTGAGGACAGCTGGGCCCTTGAAACCCATGGTCTTAATAGATAAAAATATAACTAATAATTCTGAATTTTCTCATCTTTATTTTTAGGAGAGAAAACTAAGTTTGACATTTGGGAAATTTTAGGCAGTACTGCAGGGGACCCCAGTAGAATTCTGTTGGAATATGTCAAGCACTTGTTCTTCTCAACAATTTTCTCCACAAAGATTAGAGGTCCCCACACAACACTCAAGACAACACAGTGATGGAACACAAATGCTAATACTAATCATACCTTTTCTTTCTTTTCTTCCCCAGGCTTCACAAGGCTTGCTGCTCAGGCAGTATCTATTGTAATCAGCAAGTTACCTACGGTGATTGCATGTTTGCCTCCCCCAATTAAATACTTCTTTTTTCTGTCTGAGAGAAAAATGTCAGAAAACTTTGTTGACTTGAAGAAAGCTAGCCTGCTTGTCTGGAACTTGATTGTAATTATATGTCGGATATTTGAGGATGGAAACACTGTGGAACTTTTAACAGGTGCTTCCCTTGACAGATGGAGTAAAGAGAAACTCAGTTTAATCTGTGTGTGTTTGAAAGGCATCATGGGAGAGCAGACAAGTAGCCCTAATCAAATGACCCAAAAGGTCATACAGAGCATTGAGCAGCAAAAACCCAACTGGATTAAATGCCAATTGCTGAAAGCCAGGAAATTGAGCACCGAACGGTAAAGCAATGTTTTTGTGTGTTTTTTTCACTAAATTTTCATCAAATACATTCACAATAACAAATTATCAATAAACAGCAACAACAAAATATTGTCAGAGAGGCAGCAATGGTAACTTCATGGGAATTTGATGAATATCAAAAAAAGATAAATATTCCATTAAAAACTGGATTGTTAGATGTTCCTTGTCTTATTAAAATTTGAGACCCATTGATACACTGGAACATTATACCTGTTTAGTCACCATCTTCAGGTTTCTGATTAAAGGGGTGGTAGTTAAACCAGGAGAATTTGGTTTCACTCCTTTTCAGTGTGCAAACAGGTATCTAGTGGATAGCTTGGAGCATTTTGTAAATGGATTGGGCATGGAGATTAAGTTAAGAAGGAATTAATGGATATAAAAGGCTTTTTATTGCTTTCTGTGTACCTGATTGTCAAAAAGGTACACATTTTTCATCTGGTAATGTAAGAATCCCAGAGGGCAACTGGGGCATATCACACTGGAGCTATAAACACACCCAGCTGTTTCTGTATGAAAATGTCAGCCTTCTCATAGGTTTGTCACCAAGAGCTAAATGATTTGTGGTATTGCTGACATTTTTAAGGGTCCCTGCTGAATTTAAATATGTACATAGAGTCCTCCCTTCTTCAGTGTAGAATTGCATGATGTGGATAAAGGAATCACGGCTCATATGGCCTGCAGATCACTAAGTCAGCCCCACCTTTTTTTTTTATATACCACACACACACACACACACACACACTGCCCCCCATTCTTTTAAAATAGACTCATGTTGCTAGCAGATACAATTATAACTTTCTTCCTGAAACGACTACAAGTTGCTAATTTTCCAAGCACATGGTACTGATAAAGAGCTCAGGCTTTGGAATCTGATGGACAAATACAAATCCCTTGTATGTGGGCCGTCTTGTGCAAATTATGGAATCTTTCTCAAAGCCTCATTTTCTGGGATGATACCAACCTGACAGAGTTGTTTTGAGAAATTAAGTAACATCCATAAAGTTCTGAGCATCAAACTTAAAACTAGTAAGCATTTGACCCTGGTTGGATGTCTCGGTTGGTTGGAGCATTGTCCTATACACCAAAAGGTTCAGGTTCAATTCCCGGTCAGGGTGTATGGGAGGCAACCTATTGATGTTTCTCTCTCTTCCTCTCCCTCTAAAAAAAAAAAAAAAAAAAAGTAAAACAAAACAAAACTAGTAAGCATTTGTTATTGATAAACTCTACCAAAATACATTGATTGACCTCACTGGTTACTTTTATGATAACAAATTACTCTTTACTGGTTTATATTAATCTGTAAAACATTATGTTAATCCAAATAGGGAAATGCCAATAATCATGATTTTCCTGGCCTTGTCATACTGATTTCTAGAAATTTAGTTCTAGGGTGTTCTGTGGGTAACAAGAACAATAGCAGTCAGGCAAAAGCATAGTAACATTGACAATGACCTTCTTAATCTTGACATTTGCATTTGATAACGATTTACAGGCTTTAATCCAATGATTTAAAGATTAAGGCTAGATGCTATTCTCCATTGCAGTGGTTATGAAAGGGAGAGAATAAGAAGAGTAACAATAGTGGATCTGATTATAGTTCCGATGTTAAATTGATGGTACTGCTGACTTAGGAGGCCCTATAGCAGTGGTTCTCAACCTTCCTAATGCCGCAGCCCTTTAATACAGTTCCTCATGTTGTGGTGACCCCCAACCATAAAATTATTTTCCTTGCTACTTCATAACTGTAATTTTGCTACTGTTATGAATCATAATCCAAATATCTGATATGCAGGATGTATTTTCATTGTTACAAATTGAACATAATTAAAGCATAGTAATTAATCACAAAAATAGTATGTAATTATATATGTGTTTTCCGATGGTCTTAGGCGACTACTGTGAAAGGGTCGTTCAACCCCCAAAAGGGGCCTCGACCCACAGGTTGAGAACCACTGCCCTGTAGCAGTAAGATCAGTTTCAAGTATGTCTCAGTCATACACCCGGGGCCACATACAGGAATCCATAAGTAAAATTGTTTCCTTAAAAGTCTATTTTAGTTTAAGTATTTTACAAACAACACCAACACATCTGGGTAGGGACTTGTCTAGCTAATATTGGCTGTTTAGCTATCTGTTGCAACATGCAACCAAAATGACGAGTGGCTGACTTTTAAAAATGTTTGACAGCCCTCAAAGATTCTGAATATATATTAGATAATCTTGTAATTAGCACAATGTTGTGTCTTTCTCAATTTCTCAAGTAACATCAATATTTTGAAAAAAACAGATTTTAAAGTTATTTATTATTATTTTAAAGTTATTTAAAGTTACATTTATTTGAAAAAGCGTTTAATCTGGCTTATTCATTGACTTTAGGTAATTTCTTACAGGATTTGAGAGCTATAGAAATGGTTCTTCTTTGATGTGAAGTTGAGGAGCTGGTATACAAGTAAACTTTCAGCTCTACATAGTTCGCATAAATCAATGATCATTTGTGTCATAGATCTATACCAGGAGGAAAATGTATTTTAAACAATGATGTCTGTGTATAGGTGGAAAGTTGCCTTGGCTTTACCATAATTTTTTTTTTAAGTATGAGAATGGAAGCATTTAAACTAAATAGTTCTTCTGTTAAGATCAATGAAATCTTAATTTTCCATGAAGCTTTTCTTGGAACTACACAATATCGTTTAGCTCGATTTCTTTCACTTGCATCCAGATTTAACTTTGATTTTATGGAAATTGTGCAAATAACCACAGTGGAAAGGTGGCAGCTGTAAGCATTGCTTGTCTTGCATCCTGCCTGAAAGCATTACTATTCATTAAAATAACCTTCACTTTGTAGTAACACGCAAGCTGTAAACAGTCAACTTAGATTCTGGAGAACACACAGCCCCAAAAGTAAAGAAATGTCTGTCTTTGCAAAGTAATTTGTCGAGTTGAAGATTATTGTTTTTCATCATGGTGACCCTGACTTGGCTGGCTGGGTGCATATACAGATTAAGATTAATGCAGTTATTCCTTGGCTAAGGTCTGCCTCTTTCAGGGCACATTCTCCCTAATGACATGATTGATATGCAGTCCCAAATCCAGAGGGGAACTCATTAATCACAGCATTGACTGAATCCAATCATGTGCTTCACCTGCACAGTGATGGACAGGAAAGGATACAATTCCGGGGCTGACACTGAGGCACTCCTTTGTCAGAAGACCTCAACTTTTTCAATGTCAGCCTGTGCAAACCCTGATGAGAAATTTTGCTCGCATCCTATAGGCAGCTTCAAAACATTGACAGACTTCTTTTACTGAAACGAGGTCTTTTTGTTTGTTTGTTTGTTTGTTTAAAGACTTGCTCTAGCTAATGAAAATCTCTAAGAGTAGGGTTTGCTTTATTTTTTATTAAGGCTCATATGAACATAAAGTTTTTGGTGTGTTTTTATTTTAAGAAGGATGTTTTGCAGCTACATGTGGAAGCAATATAAAAGTTAATGTCCAGCAGCTGGGTATCATTTGGTTCAGTCTTCAGGTCAGCGGCACTGACTCTTAGCAGAACTAATTTTATAATCATGGCAAAATCTCAGTAATGAACTGCAGTATATAGCTGATTACACCACATTAAATTTCGTTTAGTCTGGGAAACAGTGGAAAAACCATGCGTTTTCTTTAGAATATTTAGATTGCAAAGCCTAACATGATCCAAATAGAAATTGCAATAAGAAAATTAGTGTGGAATATGTATGATGTAAGTTGAATATCATGATTTATTTTGCACTTTTTGTTTGGGAACTTTTTTTTTTTTAAAAAAAGTATGCCATTCATTATTACTATGTATATAATGTTTAAAATCAATAATAAGTATATGAGTTCTTACATAACAGAAATATTTCCCAAATATAACTTGAACATTCCTGGGGTAATGGTAATAGATCCTTTTCCTAGAAGAATAATCGGGGTAGTGACTTTTACTAAATATCTGTTACCAAGAAGAAACAGGAGAGGGAGGCATATATTTTAAAGAGGCAACAAGTGTCAAAAGGCCAATTTAAAACACCCAGTGGTAAGCACAGGGCCAGGAAGCACCCAACCTATATTTAGCATAATAGGCTCTCCCTTTGACACTTTAATTAGTCTCTAATGTGTTCTAAGACAGGTGTAAAGAGGACTGGACCAAAGACAGAATGCCAAAGCTATTTCTGGCATCAAAATTACTTCTTTATCCTCAAAGAGAAAATACAAATTATTTCTTACATGTTCTTAAAAAGAAATGTTTTGTTTTCATCCCATGATTATTGGCAATCTCAACAATTGCAGTAGTGGGAAAATGTTTTATAGGTAGGAGTGTAAATGCAATAAAGAAATGTTTTAAAAAGAAATGATTCCGTTTTTACAAAATGTTTCAGGGGCTTAGTTCTAAGGCACTGTTTATATGAGCAGCAGCGGTGTGGGAAGGCTTACCTATTTGAGCAGAGTCTTTATGGGTGCTTTGATACGAGACTTGCATCGACTCTCCACACTCAACCTCTCTGATAATTTTCCATCTTTACAATTCTTTATCGCTGATATGTCTATGCGTTCTTTGTATTTAGGGCATTTATGACAATAGAGAGAAGTACAGCCTTAGAAGAAGGAGATATTGCTCTTGAACTGACTGAGCAGAAAATAAACATGATGGTCCTGGATATCTGCCACAAACCAGGTGGCAGCGAGTACCTGAGGCAAATTTATCACATCATGCGGCTCAATGAGGTAGGGAAACGGCCTTTTTACCGAGCAATTAGGTGTGTACTGGCCTGAGGCAGCGTCTGCTGGCAGCTAAGGGTTAGTCAAGGAGGCGATAATACTTCTTAAAGTCAATACCAAACTCAATATTGCATTATTAATAGAATATATTCAGCCCCGGCTGTTCTGCATTTGTACAGCAAAAGCTTCACCGAAACAATGTAGGTTTTATTTATACGGTTTAAACAATAACACGGCTCATAAACTCAGTTCAGTTCTGAATCCTATAGACTAGAGGTGTAGTTTGGGAATTGCGTGTTTGTGACTGTTAAGCCAATGTTAAAATCTGGTATTTGTGAAGAATTTTCTGGAGTGAATTTTCTCTAGCACTTCTCCTGTAGGCGTCATACTTGTGCCGGTGAAGTTGGAGATTTCTCACATAAAGAGAAAACTTCGGAAGAATATTGAGCCATATTCAGGAGCAACTACTTAACCCAAGAAAATGCATTAATGCACAGACACTGGTTAGAACCAATGTTATGCTTGTCCACCTCTCAGCGGGGTTAAGCCTCTGACCTTGCATGCTTCAGGCTGTTCTAGTAAAAATGTGAAGAGCAGCATCTCAGTTATTTACTTAAATGATACACGTGTGCTCATCTAATGAGGTTTTTAATTTGACCATGTATATATATATGAATTATATGACATCTGATGTGAGTAGAATTATGTTTTTATCTGCAAACAGATGAATGTATTTTTTGGAATAGTAAAAATTGTATAGTATGAATTATGTGAAGATACACTGTTTATGTCAATGAGATAGGCCTTAAAGATCCTAAGTTTCTAAGGAATTGAAACAAAAATGTGGGGTGTTTGAGTCCCAGTTCATTGTCTCATGAAATGGAAGAATGAAGTCAGAGGCCAAAAACCCTTAGTGGAACTGAAGAATATTGAAAGAAGCCAGTCCTGGAAAAGGTGCAGCTGGGGTCCCAGGAACAGCCCAGTGTCCAGTCTTCTTTCCACGTTACAGCCATGTGTTCAAGTCTATTAGTCCATGTGTAGAGTCCCACAGGGCCATAAGCCCCGCGGGCACAGGGGAGCATGTCTCCTTCGGGGGAGGAGGGGGCGGAAGCAAGTACTTTTTAACCTAGGGGGTGGGTACAACCTTGCTAGCTCCTGATTGGTCTTTTCAAAGAATTCTGCCATAGCAACATCCTTGGGATTGGTTTATACCCCTTACTGTCTGGTGATTGGTTATCTGCAAGCTGCCTGTCTTAGCAACATCCATACATTTTAAAGTTTGTCCCCTGTAAGCTTCTTTCCTTCCCTGCCCTGGTGGGCTGCCTTAGTAACTCCGCCTGGTTCGGTTCCAGTTCTACTTCCACCTCCCGCCCCCTAGGGCCCCGCGTTCCTGTCGACATAGCTTCCCTCTGTCTGCTACGAAAGGAGTACATTCTCTCACAGCACTTTATAACTGAGCCATGTAAATATTCTCCCCACTATTATCTATCTGAAAGTTACTTCAAGTAAATCTTGTTTCCGGGCTTTTCAACAGCTGATCAGCCAGTTAATGGACAGGTGGTGTCCCGTCCCTGACGGGCTAAATCTCAGGATGAAGTTGTTCCAGAGTCATGGAACCCCTTCACTCTTGCTAATTAATCATCGCCCACAGCTATTGGTGGGTTTCTACTCGCGGAACCTGGGGACTCTCTCACTCCTGCCCTTGGCTAACCTAGCGACCTCCGTTTCCAAGTCGCGGCCCCCACTGGCGTGCCTGCCCGGCACCCACACTGCTGACCGCGGAGGCGCGGTGCCCGCGGGGCCCACTTGGGCCCCGGGTAGCGGGGCGCTACAGTCATCCTGAGGTCAGTACTGGCTGCTGGTATCGGTGGCCAAACGGAGAGGCCGGCCGTCTTTGTTAAAAGGCCTGTAACTCGAAAAAGATGAGTAATCGCCGGTAAATAAAATCAACACAAATCGAGTTGGCTCTTCAGGACATTCCAAGACTGTTTCCCCGGACGCCGGTAGAACTCAGGCAGTCGTTCCGAACAGGTTAAGCCTGGAGGTCGAATGTGTGAAGACCCTTTCCCGAGGCACCAACACATTTTGATTAATTAAGTTCACAGTGATGACGGTTCTTTCATTACAGCTGAATATACTAACTGTTACGGCAAGGTCTAGCAGATGGGGGGGCGGGGGGGGGTGTCGAGCTAAGCGCTTGGTGGTTTGCGGTGCTGCCGGAGGGGGAGATGCAGATGGAAGGTGGGGCTGGAATCAAAGGACATAGTGAGAATGTCGCCTCGTTACTACTAAAGCAATGCAGGCATTAAGCCCAAATAACAACACAAGCATGATTAAGTGACTGGTGGTGCATTTGCATGGGGATGTTTGTTGATTCGATGAGTGTTTCACAATGAATACAAGAAAAAAGCACAGTGGACTGAGACCAGAGATGTGGCTTCTGCCACTCACCCCTGAATGACCTTGGGCTTGTCCATGACCTTTCAGAGCAGACCAAGGAATGTGTGGCGAGCTCGAGTTTCTCTAACTTTCCTGTGCCAGCCTGTTCAGGGAAATCTGAACAGTCAGAATATGATTCGGTGGGACCTGAGGTTCTGTTCCAACCAGCTCCCTGGTGAGGCTCATTAGGCTCATCTGTGCATCTGACCTAGAGTAACAAGGCTTTTCTAGGTAACGTCTGAAGTCCTTTCCCACTCTGAGATTCTGAACCTAGTCTTAATCCTAATATTGGAGAAAAAAAATTATATTGTGACATCCTAAAAATTAGGACAACAGTTATTTATTGCTTGACCTGCTGATTAATAGTACACATTTGATAGTTTATCGGAAACTTTCATTTTTATTTGTTTTCCAGAGAGTCCTATTGAAATAGATTAGGATTGCTCATCTTATTTATTTATGGATGGAAAAACAGGGAATAATGCTTTAAATTGACTTTTTTTAATTGTTGGCCCTATTATAGATGTCCCCCACCTCCCCTCTTTGCCCACCTTCACCAGACCCTGCCCTCCCCTCCCTTTAGCCCTCACCCATGCTGTTGTCTGTGTCCGTGAGCTTGAGTATATGTTCTTGGCTATTCTCTTCACCTTCTTGCATCCAGTCTGCCTCATTCACCTCCCCCCTGAGACTGTCAGTCTGTACTCTGTGTCCATGCCTTTGGTAGATTGACTATTTTTGCTCAGGCTAGTACTGGCAGTTAGGGGATTAGAATTACATATTTTGATCTTCTTTTGTACCTTGATACTTTTCAGGCCACAGCATGGAAATTGAGTTTAGGTGGATGTATTATAATCAATTCTACATAGAGTGTGGCTGCTTGTCATGAAATATCAGAGTACTTAGCACTTCGCTGAGCATAGAGTAGATAGCAACGACACTTAATAAATGAATAAGCAATCTTGTCCTGTGAGTAATCATGCACCTGAGTTAAGTTTTGGTAACCAGGGATGTTAACACATGAACCAATGACAAGACAATGCCTATTAAAAAGACTCTGATTTATCAAGCATACCTTCCTTACGTGAGAATTTGCTAAAGGGTTTTCTAATCTATTCTATATATCAGGTGAACCTGTTTTTGATGGGTTTATTGCAAAACTGATTAGTACTCTGCTGTGTTTCTTCTGAAAATGTATTCTGTCCTGAGGCAAGTAATACACTGTAATCGGCAAATGTGCTGAAAGAGTAGATTTGGATATTGATCGGTTTATTTTGAAAGAGAATATATGCTTCCCACCACAACGACTTGTAATTTTTTTTTTCCCTTGAAGGAGTATTTAAAAGAACAGCTGTTTTCTATGAATGGTTCAGAGGAAAAGCCATTACCCATCCGACCTTTAAAAACAACCTTGAGGAGTGTGGAAGATCAGCCTTCTGCCTTTAACCCTTTCCATGTGTACAAGGCGTTCAGTGAAAACATGCTAGATCAGGTATGTAATGGTAAATTTAATTTAAATGTGTGATTTCTTTACACTAGTAAAAGAAAATGGCTTGTGTTTGAATATTTACTCATAAGCCTCTTTTCTCTGAAGCAAAAGACCTTATATTTATTTATATGGTCTGCAAAAATTGACTTTGAAAAGTTATTTTACCTTCTTCCTATTTGTCAAACTGATTCATATGTTTGGTCTGTAAAATTTAGCTTTTGACCAGGTCAGTTCACCGCGGGCAAAGGGAACATCTGTTTGGCTGTGTCTGCAGAAAGACCGAAAAACCAGGCTTTTTGTAACAGTCTTCTCTCCTTCCCTTCCCCCCACCCCTACCCTGTAATTCCCACACTCACATAACACCTTGGAATCTTTATCAATTTACCTAATTTTTCAGCTAAATCATAAAATAGTTTATAATTAATTCTAACTAGAGCATTGAGCTATTTTAGGTAGCATGTGTAAATTCGCTTTTTAAAATATATAACCCTACACACATACCTGAATTTAAAATGAATTTGCTAATGATCCTAAAGTCGGGATGTTTGGAACAAAGTCACTGTGATGAGCACCACACATTTTTAAATGTTGGATTATGCCATTGTTTAAGCTGAATGTGGCAGTAGTTATATTAAAAACATCACCTTTATGCCAACGTATTTGAAATCTGAAGTTGCTTTTGCTTTATTCATTCTTTTGGTGACTTTTCCGAGAAGCCTCTTGACAGACTATTTGAACTAACAGGGCAGAAGAAAAGGATTGCTTGACCTAGAGCTCTGACGAAAATAAGAATTAAAACAATGGCCTAATTCGGGATGCAGATAATATTTTTACCATGCCAGTTACAGCCCTAGTCTGCACTCATCAATACTGTAGTAGAATAAGACCTTCAAATGCTGACAACCCGGGGCAGAATCTGCTGCTCTATGACAGGACTGGAGTGCTCCATTAATCAGCAGGTGACAGGGCAGAGTTCTTGTTGGATTTTAAACATAGCCTGGACTCTTATCATCAAAACTAGTTTAAGGAGTTTAAACATCTATGATACTTTAAAGCCTAATATATTGTATAAGTTTGAGCTTATTGGCTGCTTTCCTGTATTGTACATTAGATTACTCTAAGCCATAAATAATCATTGTGGCTGTTGAATTATCCTCACTTCATTTAAATAAATGGCATGTTTTATTCAGTTCTGAAACATGAGATTATCTTTCACAGTAATTTTTCTCCTTGTTCTGTTGTGAAATTATCTATTAAATTAGAAAAAAAGAATCACTTATTTTATTTACATTGATAGGTTCTAATAATTTCCCCTTTAAAGCATTTTCTTAACCAAAGAGATAGCATTAATATCACACTGTAATTAAGCTGTGTCTATAATTTGTCATAGCACTTCCAAGTTTGTTTCCTTTTTTTTAAATCCGTAATGAGAAAGAGAGAGAGAGAGAGAGAGAGAGAGAGGAAGGGAGAGAGAGAGAGGGTGGGAGAGAGAGAGAAACATCAATCTGTTGTTCCACTTATTTATGTACTCATTGGTTAATTCTTGCCCTAACCAGGAATTGAACCTGAACCTTGATGTATTGGGATCATGCTCTAGCCAATAGAGCTACCCAGCCAGGGCCCTAAGTTTGTTTTCTTAATCAAACTTCTGGGTACTTAAAAAAACTATAAACTGATGTGTGAAAAAGTTACCAATTACTTTTCTTTGCTTTGCAAAGAGTCACCCTCTCAGAGAAACTTGTTGGGTAAAAGCCATTAGCACTTGCAAGAAAAACGACTCAAGAAATTGATTTATGTTTTTATAAATAATGACTATATCTCCAAATGGATTTATAAATTAATTTCTGTCTTATTGGAATAAAAACCTTCTTCTGTGGACATGATTGATGTTATCTGTCTAAGTCCTTGTTCTGGACCCCCCTCCTTCTTAGTTAGTCTATCACAGCTGGAGCTTTAATTTACTGATCATATTAACTCTGATTAATAACTAACAATAGCGTCTTCTCATTTATCAACAGTCAGCCATCACAAAATGGAACTGGAATTGGTCAAACTTGCTGCCAAATTACCTGGGACTGGATAAGATGACCTTCAGTGTACTGCTCAGAAACAGGTAAGATTGAGGATTTGAGGGATCTGGTTGGGGGTGGAGATACACACACACACACACACACACACACACACACACACACATTATACATATTATCCTTCTTATATAGGTGTCTATAGGTATGTATATATCTGAAATTATATGAAACATACTTTCTAAATGTTTTTACATTTGCAAAATGTAAACATTTGCAAAAGGCAGTACATTTTTTTTCTGAAAATAAATTAGTTGATTTTAGTTTGAATTTTAAATATTTTGACTGTGTATATAATAGTCCAGTATTGTAAACTCCAAAAGTTATTGACTTGCATGTCATTATACTGTGCCTTTGTTTACAACTTAATGAATGCACACAAAATGCCAAGCCAAATCAACTCCTCTAACTAGGGGAAACATATAAGTAAAACTGTCATGATTGAATTTTTGCTGTTCAGCCAGTTAGTTTGGCCCTGTCTTGCTATTTGGCTCTCTCAGTATATTACTTACACACACATGGGCATACATATACACACATACCTCAGAACTACCCAATGAAGTAATGTGTGTACACATGTAATTTATTTTGCACAAAAGTATAAACATTTTTCTTTATATTTTGGGTCAATCAATATAGTTTTTTAAAATACTTTTAAAGTTTTCAGTGAAAAGGGTAAGGTATACATTTTAAAAACTGGATTTCTCTATTAAGTATCACATTTTCACATAAGATATATATGTGTGAGACACCTTTTATTGTTCTAGTATCTATTTGTTTATAGTTGCATCTTTGTGACATAGAATGTATTTCTATATTTTAAAAAATATATATATTAAGTATCATTTTTCCTGAAAGACAGTAATGACAATGACATAAGTACAATTGTCAAATCATCCTTCAGAAATCTGGGTGCCCAAAAGAAAATATCTTGAGAGAGAAAAAGAGAGACCAGTATTTCCCAGATGATTGTTACTGTTGTTGTTTTCTAAAGGCAATTTAATTGTCAATAACAGCTGTAGCTTAGATGTGCGGTCACAGTGGTATTCCTAATAATTTACCCCTGAAAGAAGTTCACCACCCACCCATCATGGACAAAGCTGAACAATCCAGAACAGTCCCCATCAAGGGCAGAGCCTTCTCCTATCGAGCTTACACACTGGCAGGCAGTAGTCCAGAATGCACGCTGTTCGTGCACTAGCCCCCAGAGGTGTTCCTGTCCTGTCCCAAAGTTGCTTAGAGGGGTTGGAGGCTGGAATGGTGGAAGAGAGGCCAGGTCTTGTGTTCAACCAATGGTTACATGATGTTTATTCCATGTTAAATGTCTATCTGGAAACAAATTAGTAAAGGTAAGTCATTTGTTCCTGCTATTTTGGAGAGTTTGGGGTTTATATATGTTAACTGCATTGTATTTTGCTAAGTTTCTTCAGTGAATTGAGGCTTCCAATCCACTTAATGGTACTCTATTGGCAGTACATCCTTCCAAACTTACTGCATTTGCTCTGAATAACATTCACTTTTATGTGAATTTGTGTTTGCACCAAAGTTGCATATTGTTATTTTTGTTTAACAAATTTAGATATATTTAAATTAGGTCAATAGCTATTAAAATCTTTTCCCCTGAAATATTACTGCAGGAGTGAGTGGAAGAAAAGAACTCCCAAAAATTTAGCCAGAAGTAACAGGTCAAAAACAGTTCTCTTGGGAAAGGATCATGGATTTTTAATAGAACCAGCTAGAATCTCATCTTAATAAGAGTCTTAGATTTTTAAAGAATGGCATGCAAAGTATTCTGATCCAAACTACCACACACCACAGCTACAATGAATATAATTGATCTACTTTGGAAGGATGAAAGACATCTGAGAGTCTTTAATCTCTTTAGCACTTTCCCATTTATTTTCAGAACATTAGTTATAAGACTTGATTAATATAGAAATGGTAAGAAAATTGTTTCCGGTGTTTTCTCTAAGAGACTCTCTTATTTGAACTTATCTAAAAATGATCTTTAAAAAAATATTGCATTGAACTTTTGACAACATGGTTATCTGAAAATAGTTATTTGAAAGTGAAACTGCAGAAATTTGTACTTTTAGAATGAGAGTTACATGTGCCATCTTACATCCTCTGCTCACTATCAGGCCTCATCTAAAACATTCCCCTCCAGTTCATGAGTTTGAATTTCATTGCCTTTTCCTGTTCAATGGATTCTCTAAGATCTTTCCCATTTTTGCCATCTTTATAATTGCAGTTCCCTCAGCTCTTCACATGGCCAGTGCCAGCTTGTCCATGTGGGGCACGTTACCTCCTCAGAGAGGCCTTCCCTTAATCCTAACCCCCAGGGTAGAATACAAACTCCACAAGAATAGCACAGAGCCCATCTTATTGTGTGTCTTCAGTACCTATAACATCCCTTGGGCATATAATAGTCTCTGAGTAATATTTGTTGAATTGATTAACAAACAAATGAAGAATAAGAATGCAGAGAACAAGTCAGCTCCTGAAAGATGAGCTCAGAGTTGGCTTTCTCTAAATGTGATGTTTGAGCAATAGTTATGTAGGTATCAGTTGTATACCCTGGAATAATCTCAAGTAAAACATTATCTGCATGCATATTCATTCTCTTCATTTCCCACATTTGGGTGAAAATCAGGTTAATTAAGCTCTGCATAGTTAAAATGCCTATTATTATTATGTAAAGTTTGGCTCAGATTCAAAGCACAAAACATTGGTCTTTATTTTTAATTAATTGATCCAATTCAAGCCATAACCTCTTCAGCAACAGTCGGTTCTTTACTCCTTGGTTCAGTTCTTTGGCATTTGAGTGATATAGGGTTAGTATTTGTTAACTGAAACTAAAAATGCAAGTTGAACATTTTAAGGTGGAGTTAGCTAACAAAAGTATTCAAGCAAGCCTTTGTAAATTTGTGACTTATTTTTTTCAAGACATTTGAGGAAATATGCAGTTGCTGAGACTCAGGAAAAAAGATATATATTAATGATATATCTTTTTCAACTTAGAAAGTTTGCCATTGTTAAAAAAAAAAGGCTTCTAGAGGTTCAGAAAATCAACATATACATCAGCTCCACACCGTTACCTTTAATGCTACATAAGATTGTGCTTTGATCTTTTGAAATTATAAAGGAACTTTTTCCCAGTTTCTTACTATTAGTTTCTTGCTTGCCTTCTCGCCCTCTTTCAAATCAGCCTTGTGAATGAGCCTGCACCAAGAGGAACCTCTATCTTCCCTCACTCGGGCAAATCTCCAGATTGCCATTTCCATATTGTTTTCTTTGTCACTGGAACAAATTGATGTTGTCCCTTTTCTTTTTACCTTATTTATTCCAGACTAATTCCCAAGAATTGTGGTGTTGAAAATAATCTGTGAATACAATGGAATGCTATGCTTTTTAACCATCTAAATATGAGCTTGGCTTCGAGTTGAGCAAACATAATTAAACATGATGGCAGGAACAGCAGAAGGGGTGGTGGTGGCAGATTCCTGGCCATCACATTGGGGCCTTTCCAAGGGACAATAACCATACGTCTGAGAGGAAACAGAGGTTAGAAAACATGTTTCAAAAGAGTCATTGATCTGTAGAGTTGATTGTTTGCTTTTAATAGTAATAATTGGTAAGATACCTTTATGCTCTATCGGGTTGTAGTGTGTGTGCCCTGTGGTGTGTAGAGAGTAGAAAAGACTGCCTCTGGCCTGTCACTGCCCACACAGCACTCTCCAACGACCGTTCTCAGGCAGTGCTGCCATTAGCACTGTGTTGCTCACAGCAGTGAATTCCTGATGCAGCAGAGGCTGCCAGTTTCTGCAGAGGCGGGTTTCAGAAAAAGGGGAAGCTGATTTTATGAATACACACCTCGGGACCATTACATATGCCATGACATTCATGCTTTAGCTCCTTCGGAAATCCTTTTCTTCCCACCTCCACCAAAAGGCCTCAGACTAGTGACTCTCCTCACATCACCATCTTCTCAAGCAGGAGCAGGCTTCCCTCCCGTTCTGCAGCCCTAGCGCAGCGTGTGTTCTGCAGAGACCATCGAAGGCTTATTTCAGATGTATACATTTAACCCTCTGATCCTCGGGATTCCCACAGGGTAGGGTGCTAGTACATGAACGAGACAAACCCATGCATGTGTATTGGTTTCTGTTTGACGACTTGTCTATGTTGTCCTTTATGGTGCATAAAATACTTTCACTCAAGTCCCCTTTGACGCTCAGTTCAGCTATGTAAGAGAGACAGATACCACAGGTCGCAAAACGTTAAATGACATGCCCAAGGTCACTGATCTCAGATGGCATCTGGAACTCAACATGAAGTCTCCTTACCATATCTGGAGCTTTATCTACCACACCATATTTCTTTATCTACCCCACACTTTATTTAGATATAAGTGACATGTTCCATAAAAGTTTGTGTTGATTTGACGCACAGATATTGTGAAATGATTACCATCATCTTGCTAACACCACCAGCACATCACATAATTGCCATTTATTTTTTGTATTGAGATCATTTAAGATCTAGTCTCTTAGAAATTTTCAAATACAGATGATCCCCAGCACACATTGATTTAATTTAGATTTTTCAACTTTATGAGGTAGTGCAAAAGTGATAGGCATTCAGTAGAAATCATACTTCAGATTTTGAATTTTGATCTTTTCCTGGGCTGGCGATATATGATATAACATTCCCTCATGATGCCTGAAGCAGCAGTGAGCTGTAACTCCCATCAGGCATACGATCAGGAGGGCAAACAACCGATACTCACAGTGTGTTCAGTGTTTCAGCTGATTTTGCCCAACTATAGGCTAATGTAAGTGTTCTGAGTACATTTTAGGTGGGCTAAGTTAAGCTATGATGTTCAGTAGATTTTCTACTTGCGATGGGTTTATCAGGATGTAACCCCATCCTGATAATGTCTCTATTTCATACAGCCTTATTAGCTATCATCACCATGCTGTACATTAGATCTTCATCTTAGAACTGGAAATTTATACTTTTTTATTAGCTG